CCCTGGATCCCCCCCTAAGTGCTCCCAGGCTGGTGGTTTAGACCCTGGGAGCTGTGGTTGGTTGGTATTGTTGCTCTCCTCATGGTGCCACAAACCCTTTCAGCTCCTTCAGTCTTCACTCCAACTCCTCTATTGAGAACCCCATGATCAGTTCAATGGCTAGTTGTGAGCATCTGCCTCTGAATATGTCTGACTCTTGAAGGCCTCTGAGGAGATATCCATATCAGGCTCTTATCAGCATGCACTTCCTGTCTTCCACATCAGCATCTACCTTTGGTGATTGCACATGGGATAGATACTCAGGTGGGGTGGTCTTGAGACGGCCCCTCCTTCAGTTTCTGTCCCTCACTTTGTCTCCATATTTGCTCCCTTGAGTATTTTGTTGCTCCTTCTAAGAAGGACCGAATCACCCTCACTTGGTCTTCCTTCTTTATGGGCTTCATGTGGCCTGTGAGTTGCTTCTTGGGCATTTCAAGGTTCTAGGCTAATATCCAATAATCAGTGAGTGAATACCATGTGTGTTCTTTTGTGATTGGCTTACCTCACTCAGGATGATAATTTCTAGTTCCATCCATTTACCTAGGAACCTCTCGAATTCATTGTTTTTAATAGCTGAGTAATACTCCATTGTGTAAATATACCACATTTTTTGAATCCATTCCTCAGTTGAAGGACATCTGGGTTCTTTCCAGCTCCTGGCTATTATAAATAAGGCTGCTATGAACATAGTTGAGCATATGTCCTTGTTATATGTTCGAGCATCTTCTGGGTATATGCCTAGGAGTGGTATAGCTGGATCCTCGGGTAATGCTATGTCCCAGCAAGAAACTTCTAAATCACCAATGGAGACAGGGTTGTACAGAGGGGATGGCCAGCAGGAGAACAACTCAGGCCCCTAATGGACAGCCACGTGCTTTTTCTAAAGCCCATACATAGTGGTGTGTGCTTATAATTTCAGCACCTTGAGGCTGAAGCAAGAGGACTGCTGCAAATTTGAGGCCAGCCTCATCTCTGCTGTAAAACCCAACTCATCAGTCAGTCAGTCAATCAATCAATGGCTGTGGATAGAGGTCAGTTTTTAGAGTGCTCATTTATGGAACACAAAGACCTGTGTTTGATCAACAGATGTGATGAGGCAGACCTGTAATCCTAGCACTTAGGAGCTAGAGGCCCGAGAATCAAAAGTTTAAGTTCATCCTTCACTACACACAGAGTTGGAGATCAGCTTGTGCGTGATACAGGAGAATCTGTCTCAAATAAATAAACAAACAAACAAACCCTAGAAATGAGGACGCTAAATTGTCTGGCCTGGAAACCCCGTGCTCTCTAGTCTAACCTCGGCCTGGCCACCCACCAGTAGGGATGTGTATCTCCATCAGGATCATGAAAGCATATTGACCCATACTTTGCCCTCATGTATGTCTCAGGATGTTGGATCCTCTGGAGCTGGAGTTACAGACATGGCGAGCTGCCATGTGGTTGCTGGGAATTGAACTCAGGACCTCTGGAAGAGCAGCCAGTGCTCTTAACCACTGAGCCATCTCTCCAACTCCCTCTCAACTTTTTTTTTTTAATAGCAGGTTTTCTTAAACATTAGTTGAATGAGCTACATACTGCTCATATTAAGGGGTGACGTTCCAGTTAGGTGGAGATCAGTGGACAACCCTCTCTTTCTAAGAGGGTCTCTGGGGCAGGTCATTAGATACAGGGATGCCATTTAAAAGCCACCAGGGGTGGTGGAATGTGCCTTTAATCCCAACATTTGGCCACAAAGGCAAACAATAACTACTAAATTCCAGCTAGATTCTGTATTCCTAAAATACTCTTCCAGTTTTATCTTGTTCTGCCGTGGGATGGAAGATAAGGCCGGGGACCATGAAATTCCATCCCAGCAATACCCAATGCTGAGTGAAGGCTCTAGAAACCAAATAAGCATCTGCAAAATGTTTGTCCAGACTCACTCACTGAATCCTCACAGGTGGAGATGGGCAGAGAGGTTAGGGTCTTCCCAACCTACCGGAGGAGCATGGTGGGGTAGGTATTATGTGACACTCCTGGACAAACTAAGCTTAGAGGCAACAAAAGAATAGGCAGCTCTGCCCCAGCCAAATATCTCTAACTTAAGAGAGGACAAACCTGGTTACAAGTGAGGCAGAGTCACAGAAAAGCAGAGGATGACCACAGGCTTTGGGAGGCTCCAAGCAACAGAATGGGAATGAGGCTAGGGAGAATTCTAGGAACAGAGAGTGGAGAGTCATAGCTGAGGTGCCGAGGTTTGAATCCTCACTCCTCTTTTCCAGCTCCGTGGCCTCTCTGAAAGTGTCTCACAGGATTTGAAAGGGGGCCTCTGTCAAAGCTATCACCTCCTGGTACTCTCCCCTAGTTCTCAAAATCCTTCGATGAAGGGAAGGAAGAGCCAATCCAAAGCCCCGGTGGGCTTTACTAGTTACTCTGATGAAGGAGCCCTCCTTCGTTCCGGGCTCCAGAGGCATAAAAGGTTTGCCTCCCAGTATTATGGGGGGCGGCACTAGTCCACACCCATTGGCTGAGGTGTGGATGCAGTGAATTTGTCCCGTTCTTCCATATCTGTGCCCCTCCCCCAGCTCCCATGCCAGTGGCTTGGATTTCAGCCCAGCTGGGGCAGCCCCAAGACGGGATTTCCGCTGGGGCCTTCTTGTTCCCATTGCTAGCACCCACGGTTGGCTGGCTTCGGCAGCCCAGACTGCTGAGACCTAGCGTCCTTGGAGCTAAGGTGCCAAAGGCATTGGGCAGGCCTGGGGCTGAGTCCCAACTGTTACATTCTTTCACCTTGGGCAAAGCACCAAAGCCTCTCAGCTCAGTTCCTCCACTGCTTGTTAGCGATAAAAAGGAGTAACCGAGACCGTCTTGCTGAACTAGCTGATAAGACACCTGGCACCGGGAAGGGAGGCCCCGGCAGTGATTAGCCCAGCTTATCGGCCTCAGCAAAGCCCAGGGGTATCAAGTAGCCTCAAAGTACAGTTGAGATGTTAGAAAATGAGGACTTGCCAGGTTCCCTGCAGTCCGGAAACACACCAAGCAGTCCTGCATTAGGGCCTTTACAAATGCTGTGTCTCCACCTGGCTTCCTTATTTACTCTTAAAGCCTTCCTAAAGTACCCTATTAAAATGATCAGAAGCCCTCTCTAGCACAGAGTGGCCCTTTTCAGCTATTCTTTTCTTCATAAGACCTCTCACCAATCTGATACACCCTCTGCCTTATGTATTTGATTTCTGTTGGTACCTCGAGAACAGAGTTTTGACTATTCAGTGCTAACAAGTAGAAGAGTGTCTGGCACACAGTAGGTGCTTAATAAATAGCTGATCTAATTGAGTGACACTGTTAGGGTTGCTGTAAGCTGGTACTCTGAGTAGGATTCATGTCCATTCTTTTAAGTATTTGCTGTCTCCGACCATAGCTCTACATGTGGAAGGGGAAGATCATACAGACTGGAAAACAGAGGTCCCATGTGAGGATGTGGAGACCCAGGTCCATTAAATATATACGTCTTAGGCTTGACCCTGCAGTGCCTCGGTCACCACACAGCATATGGGATGGCTGACCTGGTGCCTTTCACTCCCCTGGGCCCATCCATCTCCTCTGCTCCCTCATCACCTTTGACCCTAAGCTCCTCCTTCCACCCTCCCTTCAGGAAATTAGCCGACTGTGCCCAGCTCCTGGAGGTGGATGATATGGTGCGGCTGGCAGTGCCCGATTCCAAGTGTGTCTACACCTACATCCAGGAGCTATACCGTAGCCTTGTGCAGAAAGGGCTGGTGAAGACGAAAAAGAAATGAATGGCAAAGCCATGCAGGAGGAGGAAGCAGGGCCCAGCTGCCAACCGTGGCCTCGAGGTGCTTTTGCGCCATCAGGCGTAAAGCAGGTGGCACCAGTATCAACGGCATTAAAAGTACTTTTGCAGAATTCCTCTCGTTCCTTGCACCACAACCAGCCACAAGTGTGTTATAGGCGGTGGAGAAAAATAAAAAGAGACCCGTATTTGGAACCATATGTGTCAGTTTGCCCGGCCTCTTTTACTCTCTCCACTTCCTCCCACTGAGGGGGGAGTCGGGGAAACGCCGATTTCTAGACAGGAAGTAGATACTCTCTAGAAATCTCACACAACTGTGCTTCTGGAGCCGGTCAGTGGGTGGCGCTCGAGAGACGGCCACCCATTCTAACTAACTGGTTTCCAACAAAATTGATCACTCCTACTCTGGCTGAAATTTTGCCTTGTGTCGTTCCACTGTATCGAAGGTCAGTTAATGATAGAGGACTGGTCTGGCATATATGAGGCTGTGGGTTCACTGTCTAGCACCAGGGAAGGAAAATCAGACATGCTGTCAAGGATATAGGAAGAAATGGGGGTCTCTGCTGACAGAAGGATGTACACAACCCACTGATGAGTTGTTGCCTCGTGCAAAACACTGGTGTTCCCCCTGTAGACCTTTGGAAGGCCCACCTGAGGATGGCCTAGTCAGGGCCAGCATTTCTTATCATGTATGGAGGAATAGCCACTAGACACTGAGTCACACTCTTTGTTAGTCCCCAGCCAGCCTGCTTTCTGATGAAACACTTCACTCATAGGGCTCACAAGGTGAAAGGTGCAGGCTACCAAGCCAGACAGCCAACCTTAGTTGAATCCTCAGGACCTACATAGTGGAAGGAGAAATTTATGTCTCCAATAAATTGTTCTTTTACCTCTACTCCCAGGCCATCATATGCTTACTCACTTCTACACAAACACACAAAATAAATAAAAATGTAACAAAAACTTTAAAAACAAGCCCCAAAACACCACCCCATCCTCTCATGGAAAACTTAGCTGAACTCTGGAATTCATCTGTGAAGTTAATGGCAAGCAAGCACACACATTTTGTGGAGCCCCCTGGACAGGAGATTGGAGGTACACAAATCCCAGTTTGAGGCCTAGTCCCCAGAAATGTAGCCAGTCAGAGAGCAAAAAATTTAGAAACATGAAGTCTGATTTCTGGGTGGAGATTAGACTCTTAATTTTGAGATTCATCAGCGGAAAATAAGATGTTTTAAGACTTAAATCTGGCCATGCCTATTACAAGTGTGGTTGATTTCAATCACTCAGTAGTAGATTTGGCACCTTCTGTAGGCCCTGCCTTCCAAGCAGAGTCCTGCCTTTCTCAGCCCTTGGTGCCTGGGCCCTGGGGCATTCAATTTTCTGCCAATTGGCCTGGAAGGTGACCTAAGAGCTGGAAAGCAGGCCTGGAACTGTGTATACCTAACTCCCACTAGCGCTGGAGCCATGGAGGATGTGGGAATGGCACCTCTCCAGCCAGATGACTTAGGGAAGGAGCACACCCCACACAGCTTCCCCTAACACATACATACACACCGGGTACAAAATTCATAATCATCAGCTACAAAGGAAAACTTAGACACAGGATGGGCTTCCCAAGGCCTCTGGCACCAGTCTGTGATACCCATCCACTAAGCAGAAGATCCAGGCAGAGAGGCTTCAGAACCAGAATTAAGAGGGTCGGTCCACTCCAAATTGAAGGGTGAACTCTTCCGCCTTCTTCCAGAACATCTTTGGGTTCTGAGTCAGGAGGTCAGCAAGTTCCAATCGCACAGGCTCTTCCAGGTTCGGTCTACTCACCAGGATGTTGAGGGCCTCCAAGACTGAGGAAGAGGACAGAGAAGGGCATCAGGACCAGGGAGAGCCATGAGAGGAGGTAAGGGATACTCATCCCCGGATTCTCCTGAAGGCCCACAATCATCTTCAGGGTACCACAAGAGCATACCATCACTCAGGATGGCTCCACAGTCAAAGCAGATGTCACTCTCATTCTCGATGGGTGAGGTTAAAGCCCTGACTCATGGATTAGCAGTTCTCCCTCGTCTATTATGAAACCCAGGCTGCCCTCGAACCCGAGCTCCTCCGCCCGCCATGTACTAGGATTATCAACACATCTCATAGTGTTCAGACACATCTCAGTGTTCGCCATGCTTCAAAGAGGCTTCTCATGAGATAAGCAGGATTCTCGATTCTCACTTTTACTCACTTTCTCTCTCTTTTTTTTTTACTTATTCTTCCCCCCATACAATACATCCAGACTGCAGCCTCCCATCCCTCCCCTCCACCCAGTCCCCCTACATGTTTTCCCTCTCTCCCAGATCCTCTGTTCCTGTTTTCCTTCAAAAAAGAGTAGGTCTCCCCGTGATAGCAGCCAAACACAGCATAACAAGATGTTACCCAAACCCTCATATAAAGGCTGGACGAAGCAACCTAGTAGGAGGAAAAGGAGCCCATAAGCAGGCAAAAGAGTCAGAGACTCCCCCACTCCCATTGTTCGGAGTCTCATAAAAACCCCAAGCCAAACAACCACAGCAGGGCCTAGAGCAGACCCTTGCAGGCTCTGTGACTGAGGCTTCAGTCTCTCTGAGCCCCACTGAGCCCTGTTTAGTTGATGTCTGTGGATCATGTTCTCCTGGTGTCCTCAAACCTTCTGGCTACTACAATTCTTCCTCCACCTCTCCTGCAGGGTTCCCCGAGTTCTACCTAATCTTTGACTGCTCCTATCAGCTACTAATAGGAAACCTCTCTGATGATGGCGGGGCTAGGCACTACTGGGCTAGATCTACGAGTCTTTCACTCTTATTAAGAGGCACTGTGGTTTTCTGTTTTATTTTTAATATTTTAGTGTGTGTGCCCCCTGTGTGTGCAGATGCTCTTGGAGGCCAGAACAAAGAGCTGGATTCCCTCGAGCTGGAGTTACAGTGAGCTGTGAGGAGCCTGATGTGGGGGCTGGGAACTGAGCTCCTGTCTCCAGCAAGGGCAGTGATCATTAACTTATAAGCCATCTTTCAAACATCCTGGCGTTCTGTTAGACTTGGATTGCCAAGAAACCTTTATTTGGGGCAAAGGGGTTCTGAACTGAAAGAATGAACACCACTCCTGCCTCAGTGGCGTTTCATCTTTCTCAGCTGCTCTCAGGAACCTGAGGAGGTGGCATCCAACCCTTTTAGCATGTGCACAATGTCTATGCCTTCATTTACAGCTCTAGTGAAGAGAGCATCACAGCCCCCTCCTGGGGGGGTGGGGGGAGCTCAGCCAAGCCCCACTTCTTGTGTCTCCCTCAGCCCCAAGGATCCCTGTTCCCCTGGGTTAAGAATCTTGAGCAGGCCAGATACAGTCTGGCACCCGGGCTGAGTCCACATATTTTAGAACTTTACTGTCCAACATGGTCACCACTTCCTACACATTATTTAAGTTTAAATTCATGAACGTTCAATACAATTAAGAATTCAGTTCCTGTTTCAGGTGGACTACGACTGTTAAGTCACTTACTGGAGACATACCCAACATTTCCAGCATTTGCATTTCAGGCAATGTTCTGTTATTGCTCTAGAGTTGGGGGTATTCGAGTTGGGGCTCAACGCAAAATTATAAGCTTACTTAAACATGTTTATTTTTTGCCTTTTGAGGGGTGGGGAGGTGTAGCTTGGCCATGCAGTTCTCAAGCATGGATATTGCAGCAGTATCCTTTTACAGTCTCTAGAGGCTTGTTACATACCCTAGGGTTTCCGTGACTATGATGAAAGACCACAGCCATAGACCAGGCTTATTTAGCTTACAGGTCTCAAATCACACTCTATCACTGAGGGAAGTTGGGACAGGAGCTGAAGCAGAGTCTACAAAGGAGCACTGCTTACTGGCTTGCCCCTCATAGCCCACTTTCCTACACAACTCAGAACCAGCTGCCCACAGTTGGCACCACCCACAGTGGGCGGGCCTTCTCACAGTAATCTTTAATCAAGAAAATGCCAGACGCTCATTTTCTCAATGGAGAGTCCCCCCTTCCCAAATGATTCTAGCTCGTGTTAAGCTAACATAAAACTAACCAACACACTACACCTCCTAGATTTAGCCACGCTCTGCCCCTCAGCACCTCTAGGTCCCTCACCTAAGCTTTAGTGTCTCGGTTTATTCCACCAGGCTAATGGTAACACCATCTCACAGGATGAGATGAAGCTCCTCTTATTCCCAGCTCTTCCCTCTGCAGCCAAGCTCTGGCTCTCCCTCTCCCTCCCCGCCTCTTTCCCTCCTCCCCCCAACAGACACACACACAGACAAACACAGACACACACACACCATGGCTAAGTGTCTCAATTACGCCTACTAGAATATGCCAACCATCCAGTGTCTCAGGAAGCATCTTTCCATCCAACAGGGGGTTCATCTCACACTAACATTTTTATCACTCGGACTTATTTATTTTTTAAATACATTTACTGGGGATGGGTAGGTTGCTCATCGGTTAACAGTACTGGTTTCTCTTTAGACAAACTGCATTTGATTCCCAGCATCCACCTCACAAATGTCCGTAACTCAAGTTCCAGGGTTCCAACACCGTCTCCTGGCCTTTACAGGCACTAGACATGCACATGCATGCAGACAGAAAGTCCTTACATATTAAATGAATGTTTAAATTTTTTGTATATACCTTTTAAATTTTTATGGATGAGTATTTCGCCTGCATGCATATGTGTGCATCACGTGCATGCATCACTCGTAATGGCCAGAAGAGGGCACTGGATCTCCTGGAACTGGAAATACAGATAGCTCTGCACTACCTGAGTGCAGGAATTGAACTCAGATTCTCTGCAAAAGCCATGGGTGCTCTTAACCTCAGAGCTATCACTCCAGCACCCACTTATTTTTGACACAGGGTCTACTGTAGTCCGGCCAGGCCTCAAACATGCTGCAGAATTGGGGATAAACTATTTTTCTTAAAGATTTATTTATTTGCCAGGCAGTGGTGGAGCACGCCTTTAATCCCAGCGCTTGGGAGGCAGAAGCAGGTGGATTTCGGAGTTCGAGAGTCCGAGGCTAGCCTGGTCTACAGAGTGAGTTTCAGGACAGCCAGGGCTACACAGAGAAACCCTGTCTCGAAAAAACTAAAAAAAAAAAAAAAAAAAAAAAAAAAAAAAAAGATTGATTTATTTATTTTATGTATGTGAGTACACTGTCAATCTCTTCAGACACGCCAGAAGAGGGAGGGCATCAAACCCCATCACAGATGGTTGTGAGCCACCATATGGTTGCTGGGAATTGAACTCAAGACCTCTGGAAGAGCAGTCAGTGCTCTTAACTGCTGAACCATCTCTCCAGCCTCAAGAATGAACTTTTTATTTACTTATTTGTGTGTGTGTGTGTGTGTGTGTGTTGTGTGTGTGTGCATGTGGAGTCACATGGATGCCACAGATCTTGTGGAGAGGGCAGAGGACAACTTGTGTGAGTTGGTTCAATCGCTCCACTGTGGGATCTGTGGATCACACCAGGTTTAGGCTTGCTCAGTGAGCCTTTTTACCAGCTCGTCCATCTTGCCTTGAAGATGACTTTGAACTTCTGACCCTCCTACTTCCAATTCCCAAGTGTTGAGATCCCACGTGTGGGTGATCACACTCAGTTTATTTGGAGTAACTGAACCTAAGACCTTATGTAGACACGGAAAGCACCAAATTACACCCTGGGTTACACCCCCTTCCCTATCTCTTCTCTTTTAAGCCTATATTAAATCAAAATAAGTCCACAACAACCCTATCCAGCAGCCCCCTTCTCCATGGGCCCCTCTTCTGGGGAAGGCTCACCCTACCTTGATAGGTCTTGGTGTAAGGCTTCCAGTTCTCGATGCTGATGAGGGGCAGGCACACTAGTCCATCCTCACTGATGTTGGGGTGGTAGATCTTGGTGGTGAATCTCAGTGTGGGAGGCTTAAGTGGATACTCTCTAGGGAAATCAATCCGCAGACCGAAGGCCTTGAGGCGATAGGGAAGCTGGTCCTGATCAAAGAGAAGCAACTAAGGTCTGTTCTGATGGTACGACTCCCTGAAAGACAGTTTTCCTCCAAAAGCATTGATCTAGCCGTCCCTTCTTCCCCATCCCAGGGTCCTGGGTGGCCTCCACTACCAGGAAGATATAAGCCTTAGGAATTAGATGGAGGATAGACTCTCACAAAAGCACCGTGTCAGAAAATCTGACCCCGCATTTTGCTCTCTTGCCATGAGTGAGCCACCTCCCATCCCTGAACCTCAGACTCCTCACCTGAAAAATGGGGCAGGAACCCATAAAAGCACACAAACAGCTTTGGTTAAGCTCAGTGGGTAATAACACAAAACAAACAGGTGTATGAGAAAGGAAGAGACAAGGCAGGCGTGAGAGCAACCAGTGTGTGAATAACACAGATATGAAATCATCAAAAAGCAAATTTATTAATTAAAAATGGTGCAGATGCTGTGGGGAACCAGAAAGCAACTCTCCAAAAATTAAAATGTGATCTATCAATTCCATTTTGGGATATATCCCTCAAAGAATTTTTTTTCTTTTTTAAATTTAATACCTTTCTCACTGCCCCCCTCCCCTCCTGGTCACCCCCTCCCAAAATCCTTCCTCCATTCCCCCTCTCCCAAAGAATATTTTTTTTAAATATTTATTTATTTATTTTATTGATGAGTACACTGTAGCTGTCTTCAGACACACCAGAAGAGGGCATCCAATCTCATTATGGATGGTTGTGAGCCACCATGTGGTTGCTGGGATTTGAACTCAGGACCTCTGTAAGAGCAGTCAGTGCTCTTAACCACTAAGCCATCTCTCCAGCCCCCCAAAGAATATTTTTAAAGATTGATTTATTTTATGTATGAATGCCTGCATGTATGTATGAGTGAGTACCACATAGTCGTGGAAGTCAGAAAATGTCAACACCGGGGACAGGAGTTACAGATGGCTATAAGCCACCATGTAGGTACTGGGATTTGAACTCAGGTCCTCTGCAAGAGCAGATAGCACTCTTAACCACAGAATCATCTCTCCAGCTCTCCTCAGAGGACTTTGTTTTTTCAAGACAGGGTTTCTCTATGTAGTTCTGGCTGTCCTGGAACTCACTCTGTCGACCAGGCTGGCCTCGAACTCATAGATCCATTTATTTCCTGTCTCCTGAATGCTGGGATAAAAGGTGTGAACCACCATATCCAGGAGATTTTTTTTTTAAATAAAATCACTTTGTTGTTGTAGTAAGGTTACAAATAAAAACATCACACAAGTTCCTGTAGTCACTGAAACATTTGCCCGGTTCTAAACTCTTTACACCTCAGTAACGTTCCACAGTGAGAACATTCTGAAGCCAAGCCACTTCCCTTAGAATTTTTGTTTGTTTTATCCTTTTCTTTTTTTAAAGTTTATCTTCTCTCATACAATACCTCCTGACTATAACCTCCCCTGTTTCCCCTCCTCCCAGTCCACTACCATCACCAGCCACCTGTACCTCCCCTCTCCCTGAGATCCCCTGCTCCTGTTTCCCTTCAGAAAAGAGCAGGCTTCTCAGTGACATCACCAGACTAGGGTTTTATACTTTCACTTTTAATTACACTTTTATGGGCTTGTTCAGCACTCACCAAAAAAAGAAAACTACACCAGAGTTAAAACTGGAAAAGCAATCACTTTTTTTAATGTTTTAAAGCTTAACTTTTATTTTATGTTCATTGGTGTTTTGCCTGCATGCACAGAGAGATGTGGGCTACCATGTGGTTGCTGGGAATTGAACCTGGGTCTTCTGGAAGAGCAGTCAGTGCTCTTAACTCCTGAGCCATCAGCAATCACCCACTTTCTGTGTGCTGTGTGTATGTGTGTGTATATGTATATGTATATGTATATGTATAGATAGATAGATATAGATAGATATAGATATAGTGTATATAGGTATATACAGTATATATACACACATGTACATATATACTTATATAAAAGTGTACATATATAAGTATATATATGTGTGGATTTGTATATATACGTATATATACATACATAAGTATATATATATATACACACACACACACACACACGCACGCACACACACACATACACTTTTCAGTCTGCGTAATGTTCCTCATTTGTATGTTTTTACAGCTGACCATTTGGTACTGGATAAGCAACTGGTGTGCTCTTCCCTGGGGAAGACTACTCCTCCCCCTGTCAGAATTCCATAGTCGCCTGAAGCTAACTGTACAGGACTGAGGCATGCTGGGCTTTTCCCAGTCCACTCTGGCATGTCTATTGATGTCTACTGATGTCTTTATGCATCTCATGTTGGTGAGGCTTTTTGGGTGTAGCTTCTGATGCTGCTCAAAACACAGTCTCGCAGCAAACCCCCGATCCTCTGGCAATTACAATTTTCCTCTTCTGGAATAGTCTCTGGGCCTTAAATGCTGGAGTTGTTTGGTAGAGCTATCCATTGAGATTGGGCATCACTGAACTCCTTAAAGACTGAAAACTTTAAAGATGATTATACTTTATGATGACATATACACACAGGCAAAACAGACATATACATAAGTTAAAATTAAAAAAAACCTAGACATAAAGCCACATGCCTATAATCCCAGCATTTGGAAAGTGAAGTGGAAGGACTGTTGCCTGGACTGCAGAGTGAGTTCAAGTCAGCCTGGTCTACACAGCCAAACTCAGTTACAATACAAAAACCATAAACTTAGGGACTGGAGTAGACAAGGGTTTGGTGATGACCAAAAGCTAGTACAAGAAGAATTGAGATCACATGACCTCAAGATTCTCCTGGGCACCTACCCTGAACCATCTGAGACTAGGAATGGCACACATTAGTTAGCCTGTAGAGCGGAGTACGGGGAATATAAGACCCTGAAGCTACCCTGCCTGGGCAGCCTTGGGCCCTTGTCTTAATAGTAGATCTCTTAAAGCAAGTAACTGGATCTCTGTGTGTTTCCTTACAGTGATAACAGTGGATGTCTTCATAGGACTTAGATGAGAATAATCGTTATTTTATTTCAAAGGCTTAGAAAGGTCTGGCAGCACAGACATGTGCCAGCTATTACTGATAAGTATGAAAGCCATGTATCTCAGCATCTCCATCTTCCGATAAGGACACTGTAGTTCCGTGTGTATGTGATGTCCAGGCCACTGTGACTATGCTGAAGTGGAAACTTGGTACTTGTTTTACTCTACAACCCACACATGACCACTACTCCTTGCCCTCTGAGAACATTCCAGTGGGTGGAGATGCAGCTCAGGTGTCAGAGTGCTTACGGAGCATGGACAAAGCCCTGGGATCAGCTCCCAGCATCACGTGATGGCGCACACATGCAATCCCAGCACTTGGGTGGTAGATAAAGTCTTAGCTATTTAGGAAGTTTGAGGCTAGCGTGGGATACATCAGACCCTATAAGAAGAAGAGGAAAGGGGAGAGGAGGAGAGACCAGAATGATCCAGCACAGAGATCAGGGTGTTTTAGGCTGAGGCCAAACTCCAAGTCCTTTTAGAGTGTCCATTATTGAAAACACAGATTTGGAGCTGGAGAGATGGCTCAGCGGTTTAAGAGCACTGATTGTTCTTCCCGAGGTCCTGAGTTCAGTTCCCGGCAACCACATGGTGGCGCACAATCATCTGTAATGGGATCCGATGCCCTCTTCTGGTGTGTCTGAAGACAGATACAGCATACTCATCACATATATAAAACAAATAAAATCTTTTTAAAAAAAGAAAGAAAGAAAAAGAAAAGAAAACACAGAGTAAAGACAGCTAGAATTACAATAGTGGCAAAGCAGAGTCAAGTGTGTTGTGTTGTGTTGTGTTGTGTTACGCTCTGAGTGTTGGAATGGACCCAAGGCTCACACATGCTCAATAGGCACATCCACTACTGAGCTGTCTTCAGCCTAGAGTCAAGATTCTAACTGACTGCGCCTCCGTAACAGATTGCAAAATGGACACTGGGCTTGACTGTGTGGAAATGAGCAGATAAGAGAAATGCCCAGCTCCCGGGTCTCGATAAACAGTGAAGCCTGAGCCTGGGAAGTGGAGACAAGGATGAGGGAAGACCCTGGGGCAGCACTGGGTGTCTCTGCGTCTGGTCTATAGACAGCTGAGGCAAAGCCTGCTCCCGTTCTGCTTCAAGCTACTAAGTGACTCTGAGCTTCCCTAGGAATCCATCTCTCATCCTTGAGGAAGGTGGGCCAGATGAAGGATTTCACACTGCATCTAATGTTAGCCGAAAGACTGCGACTACTTTCCACATTCTGGGTTACATAAAAAAATGTTTTGACTGAAAACTAAGACAGAAGACTTGAGCTGGAAATGCAGCTCAGTGGCAAGGTGCATGCTTAGCACGTGCACCCTGGGTTTGAGTGTCAGCACCGCAAGCAAAACAAAAAAAGAGAAAAACTTGAAAGTCCAAGGCGGGAGGGCTTCTGTGAGCTCAAGGCCTGTCTGGGCTACAGAGTGAGACCCTGTCTCATGTGAAGGAAGACGAAAAGGGAAAGGAAGGGTCCATTGGGATGCTCACTCAGTGAAGTGTTTGCCTTGTGAGCACTCACACTTGATTTGGGTCCCCCAAATTCCCGCATTAAAAAAAAAGCTAGACATGATGACACACCTTTGTAATCCCGATGCCCAGAAGCACAAACAGGTAGATCCCTGGGGCTGGCTGCTTAGCCTGGCTAGCCTACTTAGAAAGTTCCAGACTAAAGTCTAAAAAACAACAAAAAAGTAGACAGAGCTTAAATCAGCCTCTTGCTTCCACAGATCCATGAAGGCAAACAGAAAGAAGGGAGAGAAGGGAGGGGGAAGGAGGAAGGAAGGGGAGCGGAAGGGAGGGGAGGGGAAGGGAAGAAGGGGAAGAGAAATGAAATGGAATTCTGGAGGCCGCTGAGCTCCTGCCCCATCACCTTATTCTGGGTAACCATGAGCACGTTCCTTAACCTCCTAGTTTTCCACTTCCTTATCTGTAAAAGGAACTGTCCTGTCTTAAGGTAGTGAGGGTTCTCAGTGTTACCTTTCTCCAGGTCCTCCAGATTGTGATCCATTCTTTGAGCTTTACAAGGCCAGTACAGCTCTGACCCAACAAAACTGAAGTGATAGATAGGGCCCCATGGATGAATATGTAAATTAAGACTAAGTCTTTCTGGGACAAGAGGTCTGCTCATCCCTAAGGCCCCTGCTCTCTATTCATGTGGGCCAGCTACACTCTTCATCACAGGTCCTAGGGAAGTCGAGATCCTAACAAATCTCCTCTGGGCTCCTGATTGGCTGGGAAGTTTTTGGCACAACTAACTGAGGAGCCAATCATAGAGATCCTTTGATTTTGTAGTGTCTCCCAAACAAGACATTTCCTAGTTCTTCCTATGACTTCCCTCTTCTGACCTGATCCTCCTCTGTCACTGTCATCATCCCAAAACTGGTTTCCTTGGAGACATAACTAGGATTCATTTTACTATCTTCTTCCCCTAGCACTTGTAGCCCAGAACTACACCTGAGTTCTGTGTTGAACCAGAATCATGACCTACTCCAAGCCCAGCACCTGAACTGCTTCAAGCCAGTTCAAGTCCTTGACGGGACTCAGATGTTGGCCCAGCTCAAGCCTTCCTCCATTTTTCTAGATGACAGATTAGTGGAAAGAGAAGGTGAGACCTTGGCATGGTAGGCACAGATTCTAAATAATTAGACCATCAGTTTTTTTTAATTAAGAAAGGCTGTGTTGCTCTTTAATTAAGAAAGGGCTGTGTTGCTTGTTTTATCTTTCTTCTAATCAGGCAGTGTGGTGCACGCCTTTAATCCCAGCCCTCTGAAGGCAGAAACAGGCCAGCCTGATCTACAGAGCAAGTTCCAGGATAGCCAGGGCTACACAGACCTGTTTGTTTTGTCTTGAAAACAAAAACAAACAAACAAAACCCCTCTTTCTTCTAGGTATATTTATCAAGCTGAATCATGATCCTGTACCAAACAAAACAAAAACCCAAGGTGATCTCATTTTGTCAAAAACTATATTAACTAAAGATACTCTAGAGTTCAAGAGCAGCCTGGTCTACATAGTAAGCTCCAGACCAGGCAAAGCTGCATAGGAAGACCTTTCTCAAAGTGTGTGTGTGTGTGTGTGTGTGTGTGTGTGTGTGTGTGTGTGTGTGTTATACTACCTTGTTTTGGCACACAGGGCCTCTCACTGGCCTGAAAATCACCAAGTGAGCTAGGCTGCCTAGTCAGTGAGCTCCAATGACATGTTTCTAGCTTCTTATCCCTGGGATTCCCAGCTCCTGTGACTTCTTACATGGGTGCTGAGGACTGAACTCAGGTCCTCACGTTCGCCACTTGGCCTGCTCTGTTTTTTGATTCTGTTCATCTCCTCAATCTTCTGTGGTGGGTTTGGAAGCTTCAGGTCTGAAGGAGGGTGTCCTCTTATGTCTAAAGTCTCTGTTGTGCTCATTGGTCTGATTGGACTAATTGAAATTGGTCTAGAGACAGAGATTCTTCTGCATAGCACAACCTCCAGGAAGAGATCCTAGGCCTGACCCTCCCTACCCATGCTAACCTAAGTCTCCAAAGGGTCCCCATGGACACTCACTGGCAGCAGGAGCATGTGCCACACCAGCACATTGGCATCATCGCTAGACAGTTGGCACAGGTATGGCGGAAGCTCCTTCAAAAGATCCTTCAGCTCCTGTAGGGATCACATCAAGGGGTGTAAGTCAAGTGCTCACAAAGTCAGCCCCACAGCAAGCCCGAACAGGCTAGCCTGAGAGCAGAAAGAGAAAGGTCAGAGCCCCAACTTAGGAAGCGCTCAGCTGGTGTGAGACCCAGTGCTGAGTGATGTGAATTACCTGATTTCAGCCTCACTGCGATGCTGTAGGCCCCAGTGTAAGGATTAGGTGATCTCAAATATTAAGAACTCCAGGGAGTTCTCCTGGGAGCCTTCTTTCTGAAGGCAAGGTACTCTATCCTCTTGCCCTTTTTCTAGAAAACTCACTGAGTCCTATTTCATCCCTCTCTCTTCAGTAATATCTCAGTTTCCAACACAATACGCACTCGGAGAATGAACGGCAAGGACATCACACACCCAGGGGTAAAGGACTGATCCAGGCTTCCCAGGTGAGAAATCTGCACATCACACATGGTAATCAAGGGGCAAGGAGTGACTCACCTTCTCAGAAATGTGGCTTAATCACTTGGGCATCCCTGAGTTCTCCCAAGAGCAGTTTACTGAATACCCTCTGCTGACCCTTGACTAAGGCAGGGTGTGGCCCTCAAGAACGTCTTTGGAGTAATGGCAGAAACAAGAATAGTGAATGGGCACAAAGCCAGGAAAGAGGGGGATGGGAACACTTCAGAGGCTGTGTGCTGTGAGATGGGTCTTGGAAGAGCAGGTACAAACCCACCAGGCAGAAAAAAAGAGAGCCCAGGCTAAGGGCCTAGACAGGACTAGCATGTGCAGGTCCCCCATGGAATAGTTATTACAGGAAAAGGGCCTTATGGCTAAGTACATTTGGGAAAGCTGAGCTAAACGGCTTCTTCACTGCAGAACAACCCAAAAGTTTTGGGTTTGGTTTGGTTTCATTATTGCAGTAGTGTGGATGGGACCAAGGACCCTGAGAAAGCAAGGTGGTACCCTGCCACTGAACCACACCCCCAGCACACCCAGAGTCCCCAGTATACCATGGTGCATCTGACCAAGGGACTTCCCCAGAGGACTTTAGAGCTTCTCATTTTGAGAAGGGGATGATGGTTTGAAAAATGTTCACATATTCAAGGCAGCTCTGGTGAAAATGAATAGATACAATCTAGTGGTTCTCATCCGGGGACGTGTTTGCCCACCAGGGCACCTCTGCCAATATCTAAAAACATTTTCTACTGTTACAAATGGGGTGACTGCTGCCACAATTCAATGGGTAAAGTCCAGAGATGCTGATGAAACATCCTACAAAGAATGATCTGGTCCCAAATGTCAACAAAGATGAAGTTGAGAAAGTCTTGTGTACACACAGGCAGAAAGTTCCCCTAAGCCAGGGGCTCGGGAGTGGGGTCCTTCACTGCTGTACATCATCTGTACTCTGTCTCCCAAGTATATAAACTCCCCACACTCCCTTTTATCTCTAAGCCTATCTTCCATATGTAATCACACTAACAAATTGCTTCTTGTGCCTTCTATGTACAGCCAGTTGCCTAGTCTATCTTACCACAAGCATAACGTGTGCTATAGCTCGAGCAAGAACAAAGGCTTAAGTATAACACCGATCTTGAATGGATATTTCCTGGACTGACAATGCAGCTCAGTTGGTAGAGTGTTCGTCTAGCATGCACAAAGCCCTGGGTTCAATCCCCAGCATTGCATAAAACCTGATAAAGTGGTGCACATCTATGATCCCAGGTCTTAGGGATAAGATGGAGGCAGAAGAATAAGAAATTAAAGGTTGGCTGGGAAGATGGCTCAGCAGTGAGGTGCACTTGTTGATCTTCCAGAGGACCTGGGTTCGATTCCTAGCGGCCACATGGTGACTGACAACTATCTCTAGCTCCAGCTCCAGAGGATCTGATGCTCTCCTTTGCTTCTGCTAGGCACACAGGTAGTTAACAGATAAACAGACAGGCAGGGTATCCATACACATAAAATTAAATCAAATCATTTAAAAAAGAAATTAAAGGCCATTGTCAGCTACATATCTAGTTTAAGGCCAACCTGAACAACACAAAATGGTATCAAAAAATACAGAAGGGGAATTACTACTGGATAAGAGATTTTGGATTTTGTTGTTTTGATGAATTCTGACTGAATTTCACATGACTGCTGAAACCCAAGCTGGGACACACAGCTCCTCCCAAAGCCTGCTAGTAAGTCACCTGACTTAGGAGAAGTGAAAGCGAAGACAAACAGGCCATTAAGAGCCCTGTGAGTTAGAGTGTTATCAGTCTGGGCTCAAATTCCAGCCCCATTACATCTGCAGAGTTTAGCTGGTCAGACATGTTACTTTCCCTGATGTCTCCGTTTCCTCTTCCGTGAAATGGGAAGACACAGTTATCCCACAGTTGTTGCAAGAGTTAGATTAACAAACTGTCTGGCGCTGAGGATTCTGGAGCAACAAAAGCCGGTCTACCTTTTAGCGCTGAGGTAGCAATTGCCCTCTGTCTCATTGTGTACTAGCCTAAAACCAACAAAGTTTAGTTCTGGTTTGGGTCTGCTCTAGACTTCTCCATCTTAAAAGAATTTTCTTTTTGAAAGATGAGGCCAGCAACCATCCCTCCTGTCTCCTGAGGAAGCCTTCCTCTCAATTCTGCAGACTAGAGGGGCGTTTGGGGGAGACTCAAAGCCTGAGGGTGCCAGTACCAGCTCACCAGCGTTTCTCCTCCACGATCTCCAATCCTGGCTCTCTAGACATTCCCAAGTAAACTGCCCTCTTTCCGTTCTTTCAGGTAGTACCAAATATTGTCCTACACAGAAATGAACAAGATTTTTGTTCCTTTTCTGCCCCTGCCGCCTGGCACCGGGTTAGTACAAAGTAGGCGTTTAGCATCTGCAGCAAGTAACCTACTCAGGGCATAAAATGTTACTTCTCATTCAGGGACTGTTCTGTACACTTTGATTCCAGGGTCTGCCCCACCGCCCAACAGCATCTCTGGCTTCTGAGGCCTCGGGTAAGGTAGGTATCAAATTTGGGTGTATCCACTAGGCGGCGCAACAGAGCCCTTCCTGTGCGTGAGATAAGCTCCACTAATAAATTTTCAGCAGAATTGAAACTGAAACCAGTTTGGAAAGCTAGTTCATTCTATCTCCCAGTACAACTCCGGAAGCAGATGACAACTTTTTTGTTTCCAGCCTCTCTCAATCAGTCCCTCTCCCTCCTTCCCCCCCCCGTTTCCTCCCCCCCTCGCACGTGCGCGCGCGCACGCACACACGCGCACACACACAAACACACAAACACACAAACACACAAACACACAAACACACACCGCCTTCCTCCTCCCACTCCTTCATTGAGAGAAGGTGAGGATGCCTGGGTTTCAGCCAGCCCTGGTAAGCAAATAAACAAAGGCGCTCAGAGAGCCGGGGGAGAGGGGATAGGGCATGGCGGGGAGGGACACAGGAAAAGGGTCATCCTATATAGGCTTACTTTCGCCACTCGCTTGCTGGCGGTCATCTCAGGTTGGAGCGTGGGGCACCAGCAGACTCCTGCGGGACGCGGATCTCTGAACTGCAGCTCCTGAGCCCCGCCCACGCTCCGCACCACCCACACGGACTGAGGCGGCAAAGACCTGCTCCCCACCCCTTCGGTGGATTCCTGGAGGCTGCGGTAGAGTGCCCAGCTTGGTGGTCTTGGATCTCAGGAACTCGTGTTCTTTGCAGATCAGAGACTACGTCCGTGGAGCGCACTGCTCCTTTTGGTTCCTGAATCTTGCGGGGTACATCTGGCAGAAGCCGGAATGGGATTCATCTCCAGCCTCTGTCAACTCCCGCGACGCCCGAAGTACTGATGCTCTCGATGCAAAATATCTCGGCTGCAGGGCTCTCTGCGACCTCCGCAATGGGATTGTGGACCTAACCCCCACCTCTAGAGAAATTCTCAGAGTCACTTTGCCTTTGTGAGTCCAGTGCCCCATCCCTAAAAGAGAGTGGGGTGGAATGTCAGTGTAGACTTTATGCCTTCCAAGGACCACTCCTTTAGCTGTGTGGGATCCTGAGTGGTACAGTCCAGCAGACCTGCAGAGACGCAGCGTCGGATGCTTCTTTTAGGTTGCTTGGTGCCGAGAACCACTAGAGGACGCTGTTGGACCCATTCACTTTTGGTTTGGAGAGTTCTGTCGACCTTAAGTCTTTGACTCTGCAGGGCACATAAAATTGTTTGCTGTGTGGCGATTTGGGAAAACGATGAGTAGCCGAAGCCTCAAGATAGATTTCAGGATCCTATTATATTTTATCACCAACCTATTACAAACTGTGGACCTACTGTGTGTCCTCATGAACAGCCAAGAAGTCTCTAGCCCTCTGGGCAAGGGTAAAGACTTCTTGTCCAGCCCAAGTTGAGACCATGGTGGAATAGCAGACCACAGCATCTGGGAGAAATTCTGAAGCTAAAGAGGAATCCACCTACCTGCCTCACCCGTTCCAGCCCAGAAATTAGCATATTTTGAAGCCCAAGATTTTTTTTGTTTTGTTTTGTTTTGTTTTTCGAGACAGGGTTTCTCTGTGTAGCCCCTGGCTGTCCTGGAACTCACTCTGTAGACCAGGCTGGCCTCGAACTCAGAAATCCGCCTGCCTCTGCCTCCCAAGTGCTGGGATTAAAGGTGTGCGCCACCACCGCCCGGCCGAAGCCCAAGATTTTGACCCAGTATGTCACATAATTTTTTTTTCTGTCCAGGAACCAAATATCTGTTCTGCTTAGATATAGGATGTGTTTGGAAAACGATTCTGTTTTTTTCAATTCAATAACTTTAATCCTAAATGCCAGCAATAAACAGGACACTATCTGCAATTCTAAATATAGACGGAGACAAGGGGGCAGGACATCTGAACCAATTTCTGGTTAGTAGTTTTAGTTAACACCAAGTGCCAGGCACTATCTGTGGAACACACCAGATGGAGAAATTGTGGTGTCTGTCCTCAGAGAAGCTCTCAGGCAGTTGAAACACAGAGAATTCAGCCTCTAAATTTTTGTATTTGTAGTTCTTTGAGCATGTAGTCCTGACTGGCCTGAAACTTGTTGGTGAACCAGGCTGGCCTTGAACTCAGAGCTCGGCCTGTCTCTGCCTCCCAAGAGGTGGGACTAAAGGCATGTGCCACCACACTCAGCAATTTTGTCTCTGAATTTTTAATGAAAATCACATAACAAATCACTCCATCCCAGAGGAGGAGAGGAGGAGGGGAATCACATGATCTCCTTGTGGAGACAGGGCAAAGGCTTCCTGGATGACAGAATGGAAGTGAGGGAGCCTGAAGAGTTAGCTCCACAAGAGAATGGGAGGAAGGTGTGGGAAATAAGAGGGAAGGAACAGCGTTGGCCAAGTGATAGGGTGGATAGCTTGGAGCACAGAAAGTGTGATGTTCCTGCTTCTTTACCGCACTGCATCCTGATGTAAATCAGGCATTCTGGGAAGGGTCCACACCAGCTTCTAAGAACACACACACAGATGCACAGGTAAATAAGTAAACAGTTCCTTTATTTTAACTGGAACATAATAATTGTACATACTGATGGATACCATGTGGTAATTGAACAGATGTATTTATGTAATGATCAAATTTTATGTAATGATCAAATTAGTATTTGCGTGGCAAACATCATTTCCTTGTGTTTGGGAGCTACAAACTCTCCTAGTTCTTTATGAAATATATCATGAATCACTGTTAATGAAGTTTGCCCTAGGATGAGAAATGGTCCTGCAATTAAGGGCACTTGCTCTTACAGCATCTTGAGTCCAGTTTCTTGGACCCACATGGCAGCTCCGTACAAACCACTCATAACTCCAGGAGATCAGGCATCCTCTGCCAACCTCCCTGGGCACCAGGCATATGTACGGTGCACACATGTGTAGGCAAAAGAATCACACACATAAAATATCCTTTTTTAAGTTAGGAAAGAAAAGAAAGAACTTGGGGCTGGGGGATGGCTCTACAAGCAAAGATTGTGGCTCCCCAGGACCCACATAATGGGAGGAGAAAAGGAGAGAACTGAGTCCCTTGGGTTGTTTTCTGATCTCCACATGAACACCATGGTATATGCACACACACAGAGAGACACACACACAGACACCAACACACACAAACACACACACAGACACACACACACACACATACAAAGTAAAACATAATAAAAAAAACACTAGAATTCATTTCTTTTACCTAAGCATATTTGGTATTTATTATCTAGCTTTCTGTATAATTCCTCTCTGCTTCCCTTCCTCGTTCCCTAGTAATATTTATTCTATTCTCTGCTTCCGTGAGAACTTTTTAAAACTTCCACATAGGGAAAGAGCCAGCTGTGGTGGCACACACCCTAGCTCTTGGGAGGTAGAGACAGGATTTCAAAGTCAGTTTTGGGCACCTGAAGAGTTGGCAGCCAGCCTGGGTTACATGAGATGCTGTCTCAGACAAACAAACAGAACAGAAACCGTGTATGTGAGTTACAATATGTAGTATTTGTCCTTCTGTGTCTGGCTTATTTCATTTATGACGCCCACAAGCCATGCCCTAAAGTTAAGATATAAAGTTTAAATAACTATCCAGTCAAAACTATAGACAAATACATATTTTAAAGGTTACAGGTGAACATTTAAATTTTCTTAAGATTCATTGTATTTTATGTGCGTGAGTGTTTTGTGTGAATTTATGTGTAGGTGTGGGTACCGCATGTATCCCTGTTGCTGTAGAAGGTCACAGATGACAACAGTATAATAATCAACATTGTCATTGCCATTTTCCTCATCATCATCATCCAATCCAGTGACTTCCAGTGCAGGTAAATCCCCCAAAAGGACGCTGAACATTTTAAATGGGTTTAAGTAACAAAAGCGGGGTTTTAAAAGAATAAGTAGAAAGCTTATTTAGTAAGAACAAAGCCTGGCTTCAGTCTCCAAAGCTACAGAATACACAGATTTAAAAAGCATTTTCTACTTTGGATCTGGTAAAATTTGGTATATGATGTTTATTATTAAAAAAATAAAACAAAAAACAAAACCTTGCCGCAAGGCATTGGAGGTGCATGCCTTTAATCCCAGTACTGGGGAGGCAGAGGCAGGAAGATCTGTGTGAATTTGAGATCAGCCTGGTCTACAGAGTAAGTTCCAGGACAGCCAGGACTACAGAGAAAACCTATCTTGAAAAACAAAAGTTAAAAAAAAAAGAAAGAAGGAAAGGAAGGAAGGAAGAAAGGAAGAAAGGAAGAAATAAATAAATAAATTTGCAAGCATTTTTTAAAATAATAATTTTTTATTGTTTTTTGGGGGGAGGATAGGTAAGGGGATTTTTGTTTTTTTTGTTGTTGTTATATTGTTTTTTGCTTTTTCCTTCCTTCATTTTCTGGGACTGATCACAAACACCCACCTATAACTCTGCCTCCAGGGAATCCTCTGTAGACAACTGTATTCATATGCACATACACATAATTAAAAATAAAATAGAATTAATCTTTTGTTTTAAAAAAGTCTTCTGAGTTTGTTGGATTCTCTTTGCTTTCCAAGGATAACTGACCAGTGTCAAGCTTGTCGGTCTTTATTATCTAATGCATGATAATTTCCTTCGTTTCTTTTTGAGTCAGCATCTCCATTAACCCACGATGGACTATAACTTGATCTTCAGTTAAGGCCTGGTCTTAAACTCATGATTCTGTGTCTCTGCCTCCCAGGCGCTGAGATCTCAGGCATCTATCACCATGGCACTGCACTGCTTCTGATTCCCACATTTAACAAGGAGGGAGGGAAGAGGCTTCACTATACACATTTGTTTGTTTTGTTTTGTTTTTCAAGACAGGGTTTCCCTATGTAGCCATGGCTGTCCTGGCTCACTCTGAACTCACTCTGTAGACCAGGCTGGCCTTGAACTCAGAAATCTGCCTGCCTCTGCCTCCCAAGTGCTGGGATTAAAGGTGTGCACCACCATTGCCCAGCTTTCACTACACATTTAACAGGAAGACTTTAGTAACAGCATTTTGTATTCATTATGTTTATCTTAGCAACATTCCCTTTAAGACTACAGGGTTATGAGTTTCATGGCTGTTATTGTCTTGTTTTCCTTCCTCCACTTTAAAAAAAAAAAAAAAAACTTATATTGGCAGGTGGTGGTGGTATATGCCTTTAATCCCAGAATTTAGGAGGCAGAGGCAGGCAGATTTCTGAGTTCAAGGCCAGCCTGGTCTAAAGAGCAAGTTTCAGCATAGCCAGGGCTACACAGAAAAACCCTGTCTCAAAAAACAAACAAAAAAGCAAGCAAACAAACATAAAATCTTCATATTAGAAATATTATTAAATCAGGCTGGAGGGCTGACTCAGTTGTTAAGAGCACTGACTGCTCTTCCAGCGGTCCTGAGTTCAATTCCCAGCAACCACATGGTGACTTGAAGCCGTCTGTAATGGGATCTGATGCCCTCTTCTGGTGTGTCTGAGGACAGTGACAGTGTACTCATACATATTAAATAAATCATTTAGAAGAAGAGAGATGTGGACTTTGGACATTTCTTAAGTGATAAGCTAAACTCTTGTTCTCGGTTCCCATAAAATT